AAATATAGCTAAATTCGATAGGTCAGGTTGTTGAGAAATAAATCAAACTTAATTATATTTAGATTTCCAAAAATAAACAGTGTGTTTGACCTTTTGGGAATAGCACCACACTGATTTTAACAAGAAAGTTATGTTAAAAGATATATTAATTAATTAATATAATTAAAAATCCTATTTATCTAAAGAGTTGGCTATGTAAGTATATTAATTAATTATTCTCAATTAATATGCAAACTTCAAATTTTAAAAGATAATATTAATAAGATAATATAATAACATAAATACAATATGTTAATCTAACAAATGTTCTAATGTACAATAACAAAATTTCAAATATAATGTAATCTAATAATTAAATATAAAAAGATTTCATCAACTTTATGAATATTGAAGTTATTTTGAAATTATTGGAATGGTAATCTATGTCTTTATAATAATATAAATATGATATTCATACAATTTTAAGAGAGGTATTGGAAGAGTTAAATTTATTTTTAAGGTTTGTTAAAAAAAAAGTGAGGTGTGGAAAAATGGAGGTATGTACATGCTTGGAAAGCATGAAAAGACTATAAGATAGCGATCAGGAGATGTAATTAATTTTGATAGTACATTCGTAAGTGAAAGATCGGGCATGGATATAACAGCAAAAAATTAAATTAAAACCATACTTAGCACGGCCTAAAATACTAATAAATACTAAGAATGAAATTGAGCATACACTATGAAATTGAACATATGCTATTTAGTAATATACAAGTCTTAATGATTTTCCAATACATATAATTATACGTCATGCTTTCTACATAATCCACATCAAATTAGAATATGTGGAAAATAATGATCAAATTCATATAAAAGATACAAGCGGTGGACAGGTTAAGAATTATGATAAATAATATTTAAACATGTAGATAATAGACTATATATCTCTAATCAAAACCATACGCACATAAATTAAAGCCAAATGCAAATGATGAGGATGTTAGTATTATAAAATTCATTTTGTGAAAATATATGTGTGTAACATATGAAGAGTAGTAAAGAAGATATACCTTCCGTTAGATGAGAAAAATTAGAAAAATACTATAGTGCACATAACATGCTGTGAAATGCTCTAAGAAAAGAGCAAAGTACTAGTTGCAATAGGAGAAATTATAGAGCTATCATAGATAGAGATTTTCTATTTAAATTGTATTTCTCTCTTTATATCATTTAACCCTTTATATAAGCTTATGCATTATAAATACTTGACTATATAAATAAGCTAACTAAGCTAACAAAATTAAATAAGGATACTTTAATTGAACGTTACGGACATCCGTTAATAATTTCGTAACATGAACCATATAATGGCCGCACACGTTTCAATTTGTAATAATCCAAACGTTTGACCGACTCTTTAGTACACACATCAGCATTCGAGAAAACGACGCACAAAAGCACTCGACGATCGTGATAACTCCAAACTCCTCAATCAAAACCCCTCACATTTTTTTTCTGTTTTTTTATAATACAACTATTAGTATCGGAACTAATAAAAAATCTCATCTTTACGGTGGAACCCTAGAATCTCAGGCATGAGTAAGGCGGCGGCGGCGTTGGCGTTGGCGGCGGCAGCGATTGATCGTGAGAGGGGTAGGAGGAGGAGGAGGAGGGTGGGGCGGCGAGGGAGATGGTGGAGAGCTGAAGGAGCGATGCGGACGCGCGGCCGGAAAGCTTCACCGACGTGGCGAGGCGATGGGCGCTGAGATGAAAGCGGGGCTTGAGCGAAGATGGCGGCAGCAAGGCTCAGATGCCTCATCAGCTACGGTCGATCATCTCCCAATGGGTAATCGCTGTTTATTTTTTTATGAAGTATATATATACCTACTTGAGCTAGGCCAGCTGTAGTTTAGCTTACCAACAGGCGACTATCAACACCATTTTAAAAATCAAACCTAAAATAAATAACAAGCCGAGTAGATTGTGATCAACTGCAGCATGAACTACTCAGAAATAAAATTCAAATGATTTCATCATGTGTTTGAATTATATATCAGAGGGCCGATATTAACCCAACTTCGAATGAAATTCTGAATAATATTGGTTTTGACGGACATATTTTGTGGTAAATGAGATAAAATCCTTTGAACATTTTATTTCTAAACTAGTTCATGTGCTAGTAGATCACATCTACCAGTCCGGAGTGTTTCATTTTGGTTTTGATTTAAAATTTGTGGTTGGGTGGTATCCGGATATTGGATGTTATTTTTGGGTTTTGATTTTTAAAATTTGGTTGATAGTATTCCGCATATTGGGATGCTACTAATAGTAAGCCTAACTCACTATATATATATATATAATATATATATATATATATAATATATAATATATATATATATATGAGAAAGAATGGGTATCGCTTGGTAGCCAAGGCCAGGAAATTTGTGGCTTGGTAGTCGAGGTGGCATAATCCCTTCTACTCATTCAAATGGGTGACCACATCATATGGGTTGAGGGATGACACGAGGATATCACCGATTTGAATGAGTAGAGGGATTATACCACTCACACCAAGCATGAACTTTAGATTGGGTATGCTGGTACAAGTACAAAATTTGTGCCTTGGTAGTTGAGGTGCATAAATCCTCCACTCATCAAATGGGGGACACATTCCATATGGGTTGAGGAGTGCATGAGGATTATGCCACTATTTGAATGAGTGGAGGGGATTAAGCAGGCGCCCCGCGCCGGCCCCGCGCCCCCGCCGGGCCTCACTACCAAGTATAACTTTTTGACTTGGTACTAGCATACCATTTCTATAACTATATATATAGTATATATATATATATATATATTATATTATATACTTATATGAGAAATATGGGTATGCTTGTACTAAGGGCATAAAAGTTATGCCTTGTAGGAGTGTCATATCTCCCCTCCCACTCATTCAATATCTGGGAACCAACATTCACGATTGGGTAATGAGTGGAATGAGATGTGGACACATCACTACGGCGAAGGCAGCCAAATTTGTGCTTTTAGCCAGCATACCCTATTTCTGTCTCTTCCTCTCATCTCTCTCTCTCTATATATTATATACTATTATATATTATATATATATATATATATATATTATATATTATATATATATATATATACTATACTCGATAGTTTTGCTATATATATATATATAATATATATATATATATATAATATATAATATATATATATATAATTATTGAGAAAGAATGGGTTATGCTTGGTAGCCAAGGCCAGAAATTTGTGCTTTGGTAGTGAGGTGGCATAATCCCTCTACTCATTCAAATGGGTGACCACATTCATATGGGTTGAGGGAATGCACGAGGATATGCAACCATTTGAATGAGTAGAGGGGATTATACCACTCACTACCAAGCATAACTTAGAAAAATGGGTATGCTTGGTACAAGTACAAAATTTGTGCCTTGGTAGTGAGGTGCATAATCCCCTCCATCATTCAAATGGGGGACCACATTCATATGGGTTGAGGAGTGCATGAGGATATGCACTATTTGAATGAGTGGAGGGGATTATACACCCCTCACTACCAAGTATAACTTTTTGTACTTGGTACCAGCATACCATTTCTATAACTATATATATATATATATATATATATATATATATATAATTATATATATATATGAGAAATATGGGTATGCTTGTACTAAGCATAAAAGTTATGCTTGTAGTGAGTGTCATATCCCCCTCCCACTCATTCAATATTGGGACCAACATTCACATGGGTAATGAGTGGAATGAGAATGTGACACATCACTACCAAGGCACAAAATTTGTGCTTGTACCAGCATACCATATTTCTTCTCTCTCCTCTCTCTCTCTCTCTCTATATATATATACTATTATATATTATATATATATATATATATATATTATATATTATATATATATATATATACTATACTCGATAGTTTTGGAATAAATTAGGGTAATTATAATTGAGTATTTGTCATTTGCTATTGTGTGTGAGAATATGTTGAAGTTTTTGATGGGACAAAAAATAAACACATAAAGATTGTAACTTGAAAGTAGTTTTTTTAATAAGTGAATAAGGGTTTTGTTTACCAATATACTCTTCAAACTAATCCATATTTGCTAATTTGCTAGGGAAACCTAAGTATTTGCTAATTTAGCACCCAATTCTACCATAAAGAATTAAGATACCTCGAAGTAATGTATTTGAACATCTAAACAGCTAACAGAAAATTTTCAAAAAAGGAAGGAAAAAAGGGACATCTGACAATATTCCTTAACATAACCTTGGAGGGTATTTTAACTCAATATGGCAGAATTAGATGGTAAATTAAGAAATATATAGATTTAGGGGTAAATGTGGATGAACCCTTACTATAAAAGCAAAAGTGCATAATACAAAGATGTTTATCTCATAACAGCTTAATACACATAAGTATATAATAAGAACACAGTCACACAACAGTACATCTTCCTAGGAAATGTATGAGAAAAAATTCTGCAATATAGATTACTTCTGTTGGACCATTAACTCATACATTGAAAATAGCAAATGAACGAGAAGGTTTCCATCACTCCACAATTCCACTGGTTTTGTTGATCATTACGGATACTGAATATCCTCCAATCATGCCAAAAATTCAGAAACATAGTAGGCCAGGAGAAGATTCGAAACTGACTGAAAATTGATCCCCATACTTGTCTAACAAAGCAACACTCTTACTCTTAAAATAGGTGTTGGGATAATTTTTCTGCATTGAACAAAGAACCCAATTTTCTCACGCTAACACTTGCAAACTGGGAGAATAATCCTATAAAAAGAATGTTTTTTTTTTTGAGAAATTTTAGATTAGATGACTTTGATGAATGAGAGTTAATCCTTCAGAAATATTATAGTGCATGCAGCTTTAAAGCAATATGACCTGGTTGAAAGATTTTTTTTTAACCAGCATATTTACGTTGAAGTTCAATAATTTGATTAATTTGCTCCTACTTTTCGTAGAAATGAGGAAGGATTGTTCTATGCGTTGGATCTTGGAGGAACAAACTTTCGTTGTTTGCGTGTCCAATTGGGTGGAAAGGAAAGACGAGTTGTTAAAAGAGAAGCAGTGGAGATCTCCATTCCACCTCATTTAATGGTTGGAGGGTCTGATGTGAGTAAAGTTTCAGTACCTTTTATTGAAGGGTGTACTTTTTGTTTTCTGACCTAAATTGTATTAATTTGCTTGCAGGAACTATTTGATTTCATTGCAGAAGAATTAGCTAAGTTTGTGGCTACTGAGGGTGAAGATTTTCACCTTTCTGAGGGAAGGCAGAGAGAGTTTGGATTTACATTCTCTTTTCCAGTGAGACAAACTTCCATTGCTTCAGGAACCCTAATTAAATGGACGAAGGGCTTCAATATTGATGAAATGGTTAATTCTGGTTACTCTATTGATTCTATTTCTACATTTTTTGTGTTGATCTGAAGTAGTTTGGAGGCTGGTGTATCAAGAGGGCTTTGTCGTCTTCTAATTTTGCAGTTCAGCGCAAAAAATCAAATCTCTTGTTTACATATCGAAGACTGATGATACTGATGTTGACTAAAAATATGATGCATGTCCTTCATGCGGCCAGCTTCTATGATGTCATTTTTATGCATTTTCTATTCATTTAGTAATTGTTTGTATACATGTTATACCAGCTTGGGCAAGACGTTGTGGCTGAATTGACTAAAGCGATGGAAAGAAAAGGTCTTGATATGAGAGTAGCGGCATTAGTGAGTTCCTTAATATCTTTTAGGTTCAGAAAGAAAATTATGTTAGAGTGGATTATAAAAACACTTGACTGCTATCTTAATGTAGGTTAATGATACAATCGGAACTTTGGCTGGAGGCAGGTATCATGATGATGATGTCATTGCCGCTGTAATATTGGGAACTGGAAGCAATGCGGCATATGTAGAGAGTGTACTAGCAATTCCCAAATGGCAAGGACTCCTACCAAAATCCGGAGAGATGGTAAAGATTGAATATCATGCTAAACATATCATAATCATATTATATTCTTACAGTTAACATAACTTGGCAGCATATGACTTGATGATTTTATTTAGTCAACTAAAAGGCTCAAGTTCTGAAAAATTATTGGTTATCCTTCAGTTTTCACACTAAGGTGGTGTCAACTTTTGGTTAGGTTATTAACATGGAATGGGGAAACTTCTTCTCATCTCATCTTCCTTTGACGGAGCATGATCATGCGTTAGATGCTGAAAGCTTAAATCCTGGTGAACAGGTAGGCTTCCAGTTGTATGAGGCAGCCTGTTTCATGTTTACCACTTTAGATTGTCGCTGAACTGATCCATGGCATATTTACTATTTTTCTTCAGATATTTGAGAAGTTATTCTCAGGAATGTATTTGGGTGAAATTGTACGCAGAGCCCTATTGCAAATGGCTGAAGAGGCTGCCTTTTTTGGTGATGCCGTCCCCCTTAAACTCAGAGTTCCTTATGTATTAAGGTACCATTTATTATTTATCTATGACTCATCTCTGACTCATCTCAGAAAATCAATTTCCTGTGTCGTATTCAAGGTTTTAGTTATCAAGATTTTAATTTCAGTGTGATGCTGGACTTTGAGTTGTTGCTGGTTGAGTTTTGCTATTGTATTAATTGAAGTGAGAATTCAACTTTGAGAGACTTTGACCTTTTCTTCTTTGATTGTGTGTATGTGATTGTTCTTAGACAAATATTTTAGACAAGTTAATCAATTTTCACAACACACTCTCAATGTATAACTTGCAACACAGATTTGAATAATGATAATTACGGAAAGTAAAGATGCAACTTCAGAGATCACCAAAGAAAAGCACAACCACAAACATCGAAATTTTATAGTGGTTCGGCAAACCTGTCTTCATCCACTCTTCTCGATAGTGTCGTGGCTNNNNACTTAATACCGCGCTAACTTGCAACCTCAATTGAACTTTGATATTGCGGGAGCCTAGGGCTCCATTACACCTTGGTATTGCGGTAGTAAATTTGCTCCTTTACTCGATACTCTTCCAACATAACTGAGTCACACCTTGATATTAAGGGAACCAAGACGCTCTGTTTGACAGATCCTCTGAATCCTGGCCTCTGATCTCTAACACCCTAGAGAGCAATATAATCTCCTAACACCTGGGAGATAAGTCGTAATAACAAAATCTCTCTTTTCACAAAATAGAGATTGTTAAGCTCAATAAAACAATTAATCTATATTCCTGTATAATAATAGTTAATCATGACTAGAAGCACAACTCTCTAATCAAGATCCAATCCAAATGTGATATAAAATCAAATCAAACAAATAAGGATTGGTTAGAGAACAAAAACCTAACGAATTAGATGTTGTCGATCGAGATGGCTAAAACTACTGTGAATAATTGTATGAATTTTCTGTTGAAAAGCTTAGAAATTAATGCTCAAAGTATTGATAAGATACCATATATTTCACCCTTTCTCATTAACTTTTGCTCAATGAAGCACTGTTTATAGGCTTTTGGTGGGAGACAAGACTGTTATGTATCACGTATATTTTTCCCCAAGTCAAACCTATTTAAAATTCAAATTAGATCCAAAAATCAACTTAGAAAAGTAAGACTATACAAAATCCCTACATTTTAAATCCCAATCGATCGCTCGAGTGGTAGGTAGATCGAACACTCATCTGTTTTTATGTTTGTTTGACGTTTCACACACATGTTATTATGGTTTTTCTGCTGGTTCACTAAAATGGTCATTACTTGAGCCATATAGCTCAGAACTGACTTGATTTTATTGATTCATAATGGAATGGGTGGCGCTCTTATGTGGTTTAATGCTGAAATTAACTAATGTTAAAAACAGGAGTTCATTGAAAATACCTAAACATTTCAACGTAGTTGCATATCTTCATCGTAATTCAATTGGTATGTGTATTTCTTTCTTTTATAAGTTTGCTTTCATATAGTATGACATTAATAATTAGTCTTCTAATCTTGAAGCTTGTGCTTTTGATCATTGTACTTGAACACCTTATTGTGAAGCACTAAAGCTATGATGTCCAAACTTCATCACTTCATACTCCTGAAATACTCGGGAATACTATGCATACAAAATATAGTTCATTATCATTAAAATATTATGAAATCAAAATCATAAGTCAGCAAAAGTGTTCTTTATTTTCTGTTTGTTTGTTCCGATTTCCAGTAGGCCAGGATCTTGTATCTCCTTTTTTTTTTTATTGGTTTGTTTGTTGGGTCAGTGTCCAGGATCATGTATCATTTATGCTTAATTTCTCTCATTAGTTTTTTGGAACTGTTGCTTTTTTGTCTGATACTACTCTAATTGCTAATCTGTTTGAAGAAACGTTGCTGCTAGAGTTGCCTCAAAGTTACATTCTCAAGTTGCCAGCTTCTTCTAAGCATGCCGTAAGGCTTTAGTTTAAGTTCATTATTGTTATTTTTTCCTGGCTGGTCTGAAGTAGTTACAGATTTAGAATGAATCATTAGATGTACAAACTAAGTTGGGAGACATGACTTTATTCTAACATATCCCTCCAATGGGATGGTTGGTCAAGAAGAATGTTTTTATTTTAAACAGGACTAATAAATTATTCCTTATGAAGCTCAGAAAGGAGATCCTCTCTTCTGATGTTAACTGCTAAATCACCAAATATCCACTTTAATACCACTTCGTTAACATTCTCGATGGTTTATTCAATTCAGTATTTGGCACCTGAATAGAAGCTTGGACTCAGAGTAGTTAGATGTAAACCCATACGTTGTTAAAACTTTTTTTTTTTTGATACTTCTGAATAGATTAAGGTACCCTATCATTCTTGTTCAAGCTCTTAAATATCATTTCCCTAATTTCAGTGGGCTATATGTCGTTCAAATTGATTCTTTAGAGATTTTTGCACCTTATCTATAAGAATTGGCCTACATCCACAAAGAATGAGTACACACAAAGTTATATTGTCTTTTTGAATTTTCTTTGTTAACTCAGGATCCAATAAATTGACATAAGATAAGTTTTATCTAAAAGAATAATAAAAAAAACTCAGGTGTCATATCTTATACAGTGTCCACAACAGAGTTTGTATAGGAAATGTATATGCTTGAATTGTCATGTTCTTGTGAACTTCTTTTACCGACAATGTGAAGATTGTTCCATATATTATACCAGTTATGGTGATGAAACATTTTCCGCTGCTGCCTCTTTCGCAAGATGATAAACTTACTCCAACATAGCAAAAGTTCTTTTCTTTTTTCCTTTTCTTTTGGGGGGTAGGGGGGGGGGGGGTGGGGTTAATTTGATGGGTAGGGGTGGGGGGGGTGGGGTTAATTTGATAGCATGTATGTAGGTTCCATTTCTGAAATTGAGGAATGTGCAATTTGCAGGACACCTGTAGTATCTGCCATGCATCATGATATGTCCTCTAATCTCAACATCGTTGGTAAGAAACTGGAGGAAATCCTAGGGGTAAGTGTCTTTTTTTACTTGTTGAATCCTTCAAGTTCTCACTGAAATACTATGTAATTCTGGGGTTTGAACTTTGTCTAAATTTCAGATCACCAGTTCTATCGATACAAGAAAACTTGTCGTTGAGGTGTGTGATATTATTACAAAGCGTGGTGCTCGTCTTGCTGCTGCTGGCATATTTGCTATATTAAAGAAGTTAGAAAGGCACAAGGCAAGTGTGGACAAGCCAAGAACAGTGATTGCTATAGATGGGGCTCTTTTTGAGCACTACACCATATTCAACAAAGTCTTGCAGAGTACTCTCGGAGAACTTCTCGGAGAAGAAGCCTCGGATTCTATTATTGTCAAGCTTGCCCATGATGGGTCAGGCATTGGTGCAGCTCTCTTGGCTGCCACTAACTCTCACCACATTGGACTTTAGGGGTCCTAAGGTTTCTGAGACAATCCGGGTGTATATTATGATCTTCTAATTTCACCCTTTCATTTTCTTTTCTTCCCTCGGAGAAAAAAAGCTTGTACAGCAAGGAAGTATATAATTTTGCATTTAGCCACTCTTTACAGCTCTTTTTGTTTAGCAATCTTTGCTATAGATTGCCATTGCCTCATTTACACTGTTCCTCTCTTTCAGAGTTGTGTGATAACTGTTGCATCTCTAATTAAAAAAGTGGGGGTGTACTAAGCTTTTATATATTTGTTGCTGGCATACTGATTGTTGGCAAAAATTCTGTACCATAAACTGTAACTTATTCTATGAAACAGCACATAGTTAACACTTATACAGACAGTTGGCTCTTAGGGACAATTACCATGATCACCTTCTTCTTCAACCTCTGATGACCTCCTACTGCTCCCTCATTTGGAATTTGTTCTGATAAGTGGAGCTGTATTGCTCTATGCTGGACCTGATCAGTTTCCAGCATTCTTCTGATTGCACCCTTGCAAGATCTGCAGCACCTCCTTCATCGAAGGTCTATACGCAGGCAACGCCCCAGTACAACAGATACCTAATCTGATTACAGCCAGAATATCATCAAGATAAGATGAATCTCTGATATCTTTATCGATTACCTCTTGGAACCGTTGCCACACCCAGTAAGCTAGGCAAGCGTGCTCGTTGACGTAGTTTACTTCTCTGCCAGTGGTCAGCTCCAGAAGTACTACACCGAAGCTAAACACATCTACCTTCTCATTCACCTTTCTCAACCATCCGCTTTCTGCATTTTTGATACACAGCAGTCAGTAGATGAATACTGATCAAAACCAATGTTAGAAGCTATTACCTGGAGACATATAACCAAAAGAACCGGCTACCACAGATACCGACTCTAGCTCTCCAGCCTTCATTAGCATTCTAGCCAGCCCGAAATCCCCAATCTTAGCGTTAAAACCCGAGTCCAACAAGGTGTTGCTAGACTTAACATCACGATGCATGATTGGAGGAGAACAACCATGATGCATGTAGCACAACCCCTTGGCTGCTCCCACTGCAATCATCCATCTCATCGGCCAATCCCGTGACACAGATCGTCCTGAAACAGATGATCGGCATCTATGATGAAGCCACATGTCTAGACTCCCGTTTTCCTCATATTCATACACCAAAATTTTGGAGTCGGCACTCGAGATGCAGCGAAGTAACTTGATGATGTTGCATGTCGAATCGAGCCAAGGAGCTGAACTTCTGCCTGGAACTCCTTTTCCAGCCTTGCACTGTTACGGATTTTTTTCACAGCTACGGTGTCTCTGCTTTGGTTGCTGGGGGTGATCTTGTATGCTAATCCTCCACCTCCCCTTCCGATCAAGTTCTCATTAGTGAGTCCTTTCGCAATGTTGGACTTGTTGAAATTGCCCAAACGGTGAAAAGTTGTTATCGTCCATGCATTGACTACATTGCTGCGATTTCTTCTCGTGTATCCTCTCAAAATGAACGATAGGCCAAGAGAAATTATAGCCAAAAGGGGAAGCGCACCGAGAAGAACAAGTAACTCTCTAGAGGAACTCTTTTGCGAACAAATTCTGACATTTATTAGAGAACTTGAGGAGCAGAGATTTGGGTTCAAGAGAAAACTCTCATCATATACCGAGAGATCGCTGGAAGAGAGATTAAGGATGTTGAGCTTCATACTCCCCATAGAATCTGGAATTGAACCGGTTAACATGTTATCTGATAGATCAATTGTATTGAGGACCGCCAAAGATCCGATAACGGCAGGTATATTGCCAGATAGACTATTGCTGCTCAAATTTAGCTTTGTGAGAAATCTCAACGCAGATATAGAGCTTGGAATTTTGCCTGATATCTGATTGCAACCAAGAGATAGAATCTGGGGACTTGAAAACTTGTCAAGCTTAGCAGGTATTACACCAGAGAACATATTGTTGCTCGCTTTAAAAACCACTAAATCTGGCGCTGATGATGGAATATTTCCTGAGAATACATTATATTCTATATCAAGTAGTGTCAGATTTCGTGGTAAATTCTTGGGGAAAGCACCCGATAACGAGTTGTGGTGCATAATTACATTTGTTAGATTCACCGCTGTTGATCAGATGCCAACTGGCACTTCGCCATATAGGTTGTTATTCTGAACCGCCAGATAGCTAAGAGTTCGACGACTGCCTATGGAAGATGGAAGTTTGCCGGTAAAATTGTTGTTGGAGATGACCAGGGAACTGAAGTTCCCTTTGGGAACAAAGGAACTGAAGAAATGCAGTAAACAACAAAGGATCAGCCAGAAAGTCTGGCGGTCGATCGCCGCGGTCGACCGCGAACGTGCACGAAGGGTAGTGGGATTCGGAGCTGATGGCGCCGACCGAACCGATCCGAAAAAATCGGTTTTATGAGTAGGGCGGTTCGGGTCGGTTTGAAAACTTTTCAACCCGAACCGACCCGAACCGACCGAATATAGTGCAATACTACCCATTCTGATCTCAAACACTACCCGATCCGTCCCCAAAGAGTCAAAGACTCAAACTCTAAACTCATTTTCTGGATCATTATGGGTTAAAAACAATATCATTATATCAGTGTTTAATGCTTCATAATCTCCTACTTTGTTGATATTTTTTCTTTAACACAATTTGTTGTTTGATAAGAAGTTTGATAAAGTTAGAACCGAACAAACCAAACCGAACCGCACCGAACCGACTTGCAACAGTTCGGTTCGGTTTTGTATTATAGGTGGTTCGGTTCGGTTGTTCAAATTTTGGTAAAAACCGAACCGAACCGACCGTTGCACACCCCTAAACTCAAGGACGATTTTCAGCAGCCTTGAAGAGAGAATTATTACATCCAATTGTGGGAGAGTTGTGAGAGATCTAGAGCTTTGTTTTAGGGTTTGATTGGTGAGATTTGTAACTCTATTTGTATTCTCTTGATTTCTTATAGTAAGAACCCCCCTCCTTGCCCCGTGGACGTAGGCAACTTGCCGAACCATGTAAATCTCTTGTGTTATTTGGTGATTGTGCTTGTTTATTTGGTTGTGATCTCTCTTGTTCGAATTTTGTGATTCTACCGCTTCCGCGCCGCGTACAACAATTGGTATCAGAGCTCCGGGCAACGCTTGGGCTTTTTAGAGGTGTAGATCAGTTGGGAAGTTCATCTAGAGCTTCGATTGGTGATAAAGATTGGATCTTTGTGGTAAAGTTTCTATCCTTTTCAAGTTGGATCTATTTCCTATTTGTTCCGCAATAGTTTGGGTGCTTTGAGATATATGGCCGAAAAAGATAAAAGTGGGGAGGGTTCTTCTAGTGTGAAGGTCGTCCAAAGTTTGAATATATATTCTATGAAAATATATGTTGAAAAGTTCAACGGCACAAATAATTTTGGACTTTGGCGATGTGAAGTCATGGATGCGCTAAATGCGCAAAATCTGGAAGATACGTTGGAGTTGGACGGGAAACTGGACAACATGGATGAAAATGTTTGGAATAAAATGAATAGAACGGCGTGTGGTGTGATTAGGTCTTGCCTTACCCAAGATCTAAAATATGATGTGATGAATAAAACTTCGGCAAAGAAGATTTGGAAGGTCCTAGAGGGCAAATATTTGACGAAGAGCGTTGAAAATCGTTTGCATTTGAAGAGGAGGCTTTATCGCTTCCAATTGAAGAAGGGGACATCCATTAGTGATCACATGAACCACTACACGAAGCTACTTGCAGATTTGGCGAATGTGGATGTTATAGTTAAAGATGAAGACAAGGCATTGTTGTTATTGAGTTCCTTGCCCGACGAGGAATATGAGACCTTCGTTCTCACTCTTATTAATGGGAAGACATCTCTTTCGTATAGTGAGGTCATCGCAGATCTTGTGAATTATCAACTTCGAAAGAAGGATAAGGAAACTTCCATTGAGCCGGTTGCTGGTGCATTGGTTGCAAGAGCTAGAAGTCCAAACCGTGGTAGGAGGTCGCAGTCTAGAGGGGAGCATCCTGCAGTTGGTAGGAATCAGTATGCCTTTTGTAGAGAGGATGGACATTGGAAAGCCGAATGCCCAAAATTGTAAGCCGTGAAGAATAAGGGGAAAGCTGTTCAAGCTTCAGAGGTAAATGTTACCAAGGCTAGTGGTGATATTTCAGATTCAGATTCTTCAGGCTATTCATGCCCAGCTCTTCCGTCAGTTGGTGTTGTCGATTCTACCGAGTGGATGTTGGATTCGGGTGCTACTTACCACATATGCCCTAGGAGGGATTGGTTCTCCATCTTTCAGAGTTGGAAAGAGAGGATGTTGTACTTATGGGTAATGATCACAGATGCCCTATTGATGGTATTGGTACTGTTCGTATTCGGACGAGTGACGGGATGATTCGGGAGTTGGTTGATGTGAGGTTTGTTCCTCAACTGAGGAAGAACATCATTTCACTTGGGGTATTGGAGGCATCAGGCTATAGGGTGATCTTAGCGGATTCTCGCTTGAAGGTCACATCGGGATCCATGATTATGATGAAGGGCGTCAGGAGGAGTAACTTGTATTATCTGCTTGGGAGCACGGTGGTGGATAGAGCGCTGACGACTTCTTTGGCTAGACTGTGACATTGGTTGGTACTGGGGTATATTATTGGTTATGCCGTGCATAGATTGTTGATGAGTGCTTTGACCTGCAGTTTGAAGTCCTGTGAACCCATTGGTATGAGCGAGAAGACCGATGTGGAGTTTGGCACTTCTATCCATCATTCGAGGGGTTTTCTGAGGGGTGTTCATTCAGGCATTCGGGGGACTTCCAAAGGAGCATCATTGGGAGGTAATAGGTATGTAGTTTCTACAGTTGGGGATTGCTCTAGGCATTGGTGGGTTGCAACCAAGTCCCGTTGGTGTGAAGTCCTAGAAGCCCGCAACAGATGGAGGAAGTGTGTTGGTAGAAATGTAACCCGACGTTCTGATTATGGTAGGGGTTCTTTCTTACATTTGTGCCGAGCTCATGGCAATAGGAGACACTTCATTGGTGTGGAAACTTTGAGGCGACGTGATGAGATGGCAGATTTGGGGAGCTGTTCCTTTCTGAAGGAGGATCGGCGTTTGATGTTGAGCAATGACATTAGTGTGCGGGCTACGACATGTTTGGGCCGTCTCATGTATAGGTTGTCGACTTCTGCATGTAGAGATATGGGATCTGGTGGAGCTGCTTCAGATTTTGGGTTGCGTCGGATATTTGGTTACCCAGCACTTGGTCACATCGTGGATGTGAGATTTGATCCGATAGCACATATGAGATTCAGAGGCGTGTTTGATTATCAGGTATTGGCTTCTGATTTTGTTCTGAGCAGGTATGTCACGTTTGACTCTTTGCAGGTGGAGAGTGGTGATCAGACCTTTGGGACATCGCAACGGGTGGAGAGTGATGCTACTCCACGTTGGGTGGAAACTCCAGATCATACTGCATCATTTGGGATTCCAGCTGATGTAACACAGATTGGGAATTATGTTGATTTGGATGCAGATGATAGGTTGATTGATTTGAGTACAGCTGATAGATGTAGTCTGGATATGACCATTGGTTCATCTCAGTTGGAGATGTTCGGATTAGTTCAGTTTGAGGCCATTGAAGGTGCTATCAGCTGCAGACTTGATCGTGATTTTGGAGAAGGGTTGCGAACTCTTCTAGTGGATTGAGGCTTTTGGAGGCCATTTGGGTGAACTACGTTCGGCTTGATTCCTTGGGCAAGAGGATACGTAGGCAGTCTTTCAGATGCAGTCGGTTTGATCAGTTGATTCAGATGGGGGGAGATCGCGTTTCAGCCCTAGTTTGGTTCCCTAACTTGTTGATGGACTATTGGATGACTTGGTGTCGGCTCAGTTTTTGGTGGAAACATTCGCCGAGGTGGAGAATTGAAGAAATACAGTAAACAGCAAAGTATCAGCCAGAAAGTCTGGCGGTCGACCGTCGCGGTCGACCGCGAACGTGCACGAAGGGCAGTAGGATTCGGAGCTGATGGCGGTCGACCGTCGCGGGCGACCGCGGATGACTGTAATCGATTTGGTCGACCGTCGCAGTCGACCGCGAACCTGTGCGGTCGACCACCGTGGTCGACCGCAGTCTGTTTGGGCTGGGCCTTTTGGATTTTGACCCGTTTCGTTTCTGAGTTATATAACCTGATTGTTTAGGGTAACTCAAGGACGATTTTGAGCAGCCTTGAAGAGAGAATTGTTGCATCCAATTGTGGGAGAGTTGTGAGAGATCTAGAGCCTTGTTTATTTGGTTGTGATCTCTCTTGTTCGGATTGTGTGATTCGACCTCTTCTGCGCCGCGGTTCCTGTGGTAACTCACCGGATAGTGAGTTGTCATGGACGTCTAGATGTCCGAGTTTCGAGTGCTTTCCCAGTTCAGGAGGAAGGATTCCTGTCAATTTGTTGCTGAAGAGTGATATCGGTGAGTGAAGGAAGCAGAGCAATCTCTGCAGGAATACTGCCAGATAACTGATTGACGTACAACATAAACACAATGAGATCCTGCAGGGTTTTGAAATCTACAGATTTTCATTTGAACTCTTTCAAAAGGTCTATCTGCAACATTAGGACTATAGGGGTAGTAAGTTCAGTTTGGTAATAGTAGTGCATGAAGTCTATCCGCAATTATCCCTTTGAAGAAGATAGGAATTCAGTCTGGAGAAATTCGAAGAAGAAAAGCTCGATTTTGGATAAGTATTTGAAGATTTATATGGATACTGTTAGAC